GTCCAATATTATTGAAAAGATACAGCTATTCCATCAAAAATGATATCAATGCTGCAAGCGTGTTTACGCAAAAGGTACTTTTGACCAAAGATCAGCAATATAATGAAAACACATGCGGTTACTGAAATCGCGTCCAAAATTAACATAAAAAACTTCATTCCGTGGCGAAGACTTGAGCTGAAGTAACCGCATTGCAAAGCGTGAGGTGTTACTCAAGAGTAAAGGTGCTCGAAGTCAAAATCGTGCGTTAACGTTAGTTGAGGTATTTATACAACTATACCTTGTTAAGTGTACTACTTTGTTAGCAATGCTATCGCTTTATGATAAAAAAAAACAATATTGTTGGTTATTCTTTTGGCGCCGACCACGGGAAATCCCGTGATCAGGTGGATGGGGAAAATGAGGTCGCAATTGAAAATCCATGCTGTAGCTGAGTCGCTGAGGCATGCATTCAGTCATGTAAGGGGAGCTCTTTGGAGTGGAAGATATGAACCACAAGTTCTGACCAATCACGTGCAGTGCAGTTTGTGAACAGATAGGAGAGATCTTCTATTGCTATCTTGGCAATGGTAGAAGTTTTTACATTTCGGGACTCCAACATCCAACTGTTGACCTACCTACTACCCTGGTAAAAATTGGCAGTAGAATCTGTGTTCCAAAATACCATAGACCTACAGCCGGCTGTAAGATTTCCAATAGCTTCTATAGCCGGCTACACAATTTCTTATAGCCTTTCATAGCCGATGGCGATTAAGCAACAGCCAGGTGATAAAGTGTATGCTAAACGTTACTAATTACGGATGCTAGGACTTAGTGAGTTTTTGGAATACTGCTCTCTTTTTGGGCCGTAGTATCTTGATTTATTTTGCGAGGAAAGCTCCGTACTCTTGATGGATGCCTGCCATTACTAATATATTAGAGCGCCTTCAGTTTCGTATGAAACTGTGCAATACCTCTGGTGTGAAATAGTTGCTTCAAGCGCCGTGGCAGGCGGGCAGCCAGCGCGAAACACGCATTGGCGCCTACAAACCTAACAGGGATACTTCTTGCGTTGCGCAATACGTGAAGTATCCCTGTTAGGTTTGTAGGCGCCAGTGTGTCGCCGCTTGCTTTGTGTTATGCTCTCATATTTAATCAGGCGGAGTCAGCGTTATTCAACTCATGATTTTGAAATGTTTGCACATCCTGTATGGATTATTCACATTTTAATTGATGAAAAAAAATATGTATTAAAGGAAAATATAATGTGTGTTTTGTAAATATTAAGGTGGTTCCGTATCAAACTTAATGATTTCCAAAGCACATGAATTTCTGCACAATTTCTTATAGCCTTTTATAATCGATGGCGAAAAAGCAACAGCCAGGCGATAAAGTGTAAAGCCCGGCGATAGGAACTATAGCCGGGTTGCATAATTTTTTATCGCTTCGTATAGCCCGGCCGTATGCTTCTCTCCGCATTCTACAGCCAGCTATATGATTTTCTGTGGCCTTCTTTAGCCGGCTATAAGAATTCCTATGGTATTTTGAAACGCAGCTCTTATCGCCAATTTTTACCGGGGATACTTGGATGTTGAAGAAAGTATTGGGAATTTCGTTTCGCAAACGGACCGAAGTTTGGAAAACTTGCTCGGCTCATTACGTCACCCGAAGCCTAGTGGGCCTTTCCACCTTGTGGGTATGATGACTGTTTCTCTCTTATGATTGTCCATAGGAACGTGTTGAATCCTCGAAATGAAAAATCTTCACCACTTGCTAGGAAGCCAGATGAGGGTCTCGAGTCTCTGTTGGTTAATATTAATTAACATAATCTTAAGATATGTCGGCAACTCACGATGTTTTACCCGGCGCTTAAAACGTTAAGGCCACTGCTAATACTGCCGTGCTAAGCAAGAATACCGTAAATCCATCAAGACTTCCCTGCGTTTTTTGGAACTTAACACTTTATAAAATAAGAACTGTTTTACCTATGCACCTAAAATGTTCGGGTTAAATTCTTGATAGTTTTTGCAAAACAAATTCTGTAAAAACATTGTCCCGAGGTACACAAGCTTTTCTGCTATGATACATTGTTTCCAAAAAAATTTAAATGGCGTTTACGGCGTTTTTGCGATGCACGGCATAATAATTGACAGCTCACTGGAGAAAAAAAATCACATCGGATCTAGAGTCCAGACTCTTAAAAACATCGACAAGAAAGAGTACTCTTGATTCAATCAGAATCTAGCTTGAAACAATGAACCAAGCCTCTTAATTTAAGTGGATTTCGTTTTGATTCAAGCAAAAATCCGATTGAATCAAGAGTATTTTTTCTTGTCAATGTTTTCGTGAGTCTGGACTCTAGATCCAATGTGTTTTTTTCTCCAGTGCTCAAACTGAGTACCACCAACATAGTAATTTTCACAATTCAATTTCAATTTTTAGGATCTAGAGTCTAGACTCTTAAAAACATCGACAGTAAAAAGTACTCTTGATTCGATCAGAATCTAGCTTAAATCAAGAACCAAGCCTCTTAATTTAAGCGGATTTCGTTTTGATGCAAGCAAAAATCCGATTGAATCAAGAGTGTTTTTTCTTGTCAATGTTTTCAAGAGTCTGGACTCTAAATCCAATGTCTTTTTTTTTTCCAGTGCTCAAACGGAATACCACCAACATAGTAATTTTAACCAAATTTTTTGCTCAAAGCATCCTGCGCCCTCTTCCCCTGAGCCCAGACCGATGGCTTCCCCTTGTTCCAGTCCAGATTTCTCGCAAAAGCCACTTCCGAAAAGGCTGACAAGGCAAAGGTGGCGACGGGGAAGGGTCCGGTCCGGGAGACACGGCGGCGACGCATACGTGCGCGGGGCGCGCGATCCGCTTGCTCGGGTTAAAATGAGAAAAAGCAGAAGTCGCTTTCTCCGGCAGCGGCGGCGCGGCGGCGCGAACGGTACCGGTACCACGAGACGCACGTGACGCGGCGTCGCGACGCACGCCGCACGCCGGCTCACGTAACAGACCCGTCGCGTCGCGACGCCACTGACGCAACAGCGCGCCTCAAGATCAGGGCCCCTCTTCGCATGGGACGCCGCCAGGGAGCACTGACCCTAAGACTGGTCAGGGTCTGATTTTGATCATCCAGCAGCCCGATTGTTGAAATTTTGTGTTTGTCGGGTAGACATAGATAACATAGGTTAAAAGGCGGAGCGTGATTGTTTGGCGATGTCTTATCGTTGCTTCATTGGACTGCATTTTGCAATTTGGAACTATAAATTCTGGCTCTTCTGGAAAACTACTTATGCGCATTGGGAAACTAATGGCACATACGTTGTTGTGAAACCGGGCTAGAATGTATAGTTCCAAATTGCAAAATGTAGTCCCATTGTGCCTATGTCAGGTGGAACTCACGACAAGTTAAAGGCATCTCTTAAGTGGATGCATTTTGCAAAAAGGAACCAAGGGCATTCCATTGTTCCTAGGATTGTGCAACTTATATACATTCTTTGCAACACAATTACTAAAATCAAGCAAAAAATTAAACCTACAACGGTAATTTTCATCATGAACTTATGGTTTATTGAGAGTAAAGATGAATCTTATTTAGATGATCAGTTTATATATGCAAGGTGAACAAAGTTGCACAAGCTTAGCGACATTGGAATGCTCTTGGTTCCTTTTTGCAAAATGCAATCCAAGTTTCCGACAGTATGTCGTCCATTCCACCTGACAAAGGTATGTTAAAGCAGCGATAAGACTTAGCCGACCAATCACGCTGCCGCCTTTTAACCTATGTCATCTATGTCTACCCAAAAAAAAACAAAATATCAACAATCAGGCTGCTGTTAAGGGCGCGAGCCCCTTACTTCAAGACTACTGAAATGATGGCGCATTGAACCTGTTGCAATCTTCAGCTGGTGGAAAAAGAAGAGTCGTATTTCATGGAAAATCTTGTGTTGAAGATAACTCCTCATTTTCCAATGCACGAGTCTGTTTCAAAAAATGCAAAGTTGCAAAATGCAAGTTATCTGGTGTAAACTTTGAGCACTTTAAGATGAGTATTGCAAAAACCACTCGAGCCATGAATCAGTGAGAACGAAAACACACCAACTCGGTAACTCGAAAATGCTCAATTTCCTTTAAAGACAGTAAATTTACATAAAGATCATTGAAGTTAGCGCACCTGTCCCAACTTGGACCTTTAAAGTGTCCATAAGTACTTTTCTTTCAGCAGCAAATTTTTTTTTTTTGAAGTAACTTCTTCTTCTACTGTGCAGTTTTGGTCGTGTGTTGATTATTTTCATTTTTCCGAGTTGGTGTGTTTTCGTCCTCACTGATTCAAATTTTAGTCTAATTCTAACCGAACTTTCTTCAACGAATGAAATGCAATAATTGGCTTGCTGGTCAAGGCAACAGGTTTCTTTCTCTAGGATGCATGGAGCAAATCTTTTGTTGCCGCTAGCACCTCATCCTCCAATAGACGGGTCATCCTCGGAAGACTAAAACCTGGCTCGATTCGACAACGGCACCGGAGCAAGTTCTGGCGCGAAAGGAATTCCCAAAAGAAATTGGCTTGTTGGTCAAGGTCTCATTCTCTAGGATGCATGTAGCAAATCTTGTGTTGAAGGTAACTCCTCATTTTCCAATGCACGAGTCCGCTTCAAAAAATACAAAGATGCAAAATGCAAGTTATTTGGTGTAAACTTTGAACACTTGGCGATGAGTAATGCAAAAACCACTCGAGCCACTAAATTTTAGTCAAATTCCAACCGAACTTTCTTCAACGAAAGAAATGCAATAATTGGCTTGTTGGTCAAGGTAACAGGTCTCTTTCTCTAGGATGCATGCAGCAAATCTTCTGTTGCCACTAACACCTCATCTTCCAATGGAGGGTCATCCTCGGAAGACTAAAACCTGGCTCGATTCGACAACGGCACCGGAGCCAGTTCTGGCGCGAAAGGGCCGGCCCCGGCCCCCTGGATCCTCGGCGCGGACCGGAGGCTGCTGGCTGCTCTTCTGCTCTCGCTACTCGATCGCGAACCGCCGAACCGCGCGTGTAGTGCTCCTCTCTGCTCGCGATTCCGTCCGCTCCATCTCCGGGACTAGTGTCCGCGTGGTCCAAGTTCACGTGTTGTGATTATACAGGATGACTCTGCGCGCGGCCCAAAGCTCCTCGGCACGATTACTGGTGAGTCACAATCCTTTGTTCTGCATCTCGAGTGATTAGAATATAAAACAAGTCTGATTCAAGTGCGGGTGAAAAGTTTTTCGAAATTAATGGAACGGCAAGATGACAGGAACATCCAGGAAGAGCTATTGCCATGCTGAACGGGATCCTTTGGGTAGAGTATACCCGTATAGTGAGAGTATAGACAGGTGTGAAACTCCGAAAATCCATCAGGCCTTCGCCGATGCCTCAGCGAATAAAGTTAGTGCCCTAAAGAGCAGCCAACCTATGAATTCAAATTATCCAGAACGAGTTATATTATTACAATTGAACTATATTTTGCAATTAGGAACTACACATTGTGGCTTGATTTAGAAACAACGTATGCGCCATTAGTTTTCTGATGCGTATAAGTGTTTTTACAAATGCATAAGCTATAGATGTTTTAGTTCCTAATTGAAATATACAGTTCAATTATCGTTATGACGGATTGTTTGCAAAGCGTGTATTTGACTTAGCTTTTGCATAAACGCTCTCATTTTTGTAGAAGGAATAAGCGCGTTTATGAACAATCCTTGGTCATTATGATTTGAGGTGAAATCTGGAGATTTATGCAGTGACCCTCTTTGTTTTAGAAGGTTGGCTTCCTTTTGGGTCCTAAATTAGCCCTTCTTAGTGCGCTGTCCAAACTCTTGCTGCACAGGTACTCTAACACGTCCGATCGAAGGGCACGCGAGGGATTGATGAAGCATCCAAGTTTCGCAAAATTAATGTAACTGCAAGTAGACAGGAACATCCAGGAAAGAGATCTATTGCTACAATAAACTGAATCATTTAAGATGAGGGAATTTCAAGGTTAAATAGCTCGCGTGAAAAAATCGCTATATATAATAATGCGAGAATTTTGGTGTAGTATAATATTGAGGGCAAATTGAAATAAATGTTGGGCTGACGTTCACCGGCGTCTTGTGGAGAGATCCCGTTGGTGATGAAAGACTTCAAAAGATAATAACAAAGGGAAGTAACATTTCATGACATCACGTCGGGGTAGTCCGTGTGGCATATGGATCAGTGCAAAGAATGTGGGAGAAACGGTTGCCTGAACAAGTTTTAGAAGGGGTCCCTCCGGGAAATAGACGACGGGTACGTACTGTAAAGGGCTGGCGGCAGGGCGTCGACGAGGGAATTTAGAGATGTCAGTTGTGCACTGACCTTTTGAAAAATATGTGCCTTTGGAGTGCCGCAGCGCGCCAGATTGTGCAGTGGAAGTGAATCGTGAAAAAACCGCCTCATTGAGGTTAAAGTATGATCAGTTCCACCTTGAGTCTAACTGATTTTAGACCCAAGTAGATTCTCAAGGGTATACGCCTGGTAATGAATGCCTGCCAGTGTGTACCAAGAGCTTGATTAACATCTAAATTCTACCAGGAAACGGATCAGCTTTGCCTGAAAGACTCAAGTTAAGGACCCGAGGTTCATATCAACCCCTTAATTTTTAATTTTTTCCTACACCGCTTTATTACTGCGTTGCTTTAACATGCTTAAGATTCTATCAATGCGCTCCTGTTACCAATACTAGTCGATGGCTGGATGTTCAAGATTCCAGATGATTGTATCCGCGGCTGTAACGGTTAGTCCTTGGACGAAGTGGTCGCATATTCGATTCTTCGTCAAAATGATCGGAGATCAATTTTCTTATTTGGGGATAAAAATCGTGGCATTCACGGTTGTCACCACGCAGCTTGAATTGAGCCCTTATCTTTTTTCTCACAGGTGCAAAGAAGCTAAACTTTTCCCTCGAATCCAATTATTGTGCGATCATCCATTCATTTTCCATATCACATTAAAATCATGCGTCTCAAATTCAAATTGACTTCACAGTAAGCTCTTTTGACATATTCTGATTTTGATGACAACTTTAAGACACCTTTCAGCTCTCTGGAGGTGATGTGAGTGACAAAATCTCATGTATTTGACAAACATTTACTCAACATATTAAGCTGAAAAAATATCAAAAGTACACACATTTGATTCCCTTTTTATTAGTACATAATCCCTCAAGTACAGTCCTCGTAATTCATTCATTATTATTTATCCGCAATGAATTCATTTGAAAAAAAAAAGGTTACGCAACTCTCTTTTGCGGAGATTAAACAAAAATGATGGATTGTGAGAGATAATTCAACACACCGTCTGACAGTTGGCTTTTGAATGAGTTCAATGAATGGATCAGTTACGGTGTCTGCCATAGTTTTAATTAATTAATTAATATCTAACGTGACCGCAGGGATAGGTTTTTAAATGGAAAGGCGGGCGGTTCATGACGTATTACTTGAAACTCTGGGCCAGGTGAAGTTACATGCAGAGTGAAACTAGAAAAACGCGTATCATGTTTGCTTGCAACGTTGTAGAGTACGCATCATATTTTACTAGTATGAAATGAAACCAACCATCGTTGCTCCATGAAATGGGTTATTCAAAAGCGGCAATCTGCGTATATCGTCAGATCTTCCTCAAAATTTCATACGTTATTTTCTGGTTTACGGTATAGTTCTTTCTCTAAGATTTCATCACTGGGGGAAAATTTATCTCCCCGGGCAGCGTTGTCAAGTTAAAATCTTCTAAAGTAAAAATTGGTCCGTTTTTCTCAAAAGCACGGTTTTAACGAGGAGGAAGAGCAGCTCTCCAAATTTGGTCAACTTATCCCTACTTTTTCAAACAATTGCGATTACATGAGAGTTGTCCAGAAATTATCGTAACTCAATGCGCAACTTCAAAATCCGCAGAAGAGTTTCTTTTATACGGAAATAAAATAAAATAAAACAAAAAAGGAAAAGATTTGGAATCATACACATAAAAAAACCGCATGCTTTTGGTTCGATATGTACCTATGGATCTCTGAAGTAATTCGGATCCTGCATCCGAAAACCTGAGGTCCAGCTGCCGAAGTTTGGGACACAATCTGAAGCACTTTGGTGCTTTGGTTTACTCCATGGAACCCCAAACTTTTTTTTTTTTTTTTTTTTTTTTTTTTGAGACCAAAAAGTTTATTATTTGAATTACAAGTTATACAAAAAGACGAGCTATGTGCCCCTCTGTGTTGATAGACCTTAAAACTAGTATTTTAGACTTATTTTAAAAGGCATGAACTTAAGCTGTTTGGAGACATAAAGAAAATCAGGTAGTCTGTGAAATGGTCTCGCCGGAATTACCAATAGGTATACCATCGGCGTGGGGGGGTGGGGGTGGGGGTGATTGGTCTGGGTGGAGGGACGGCTGTTGGTTTGATTTCAATCTTAGGACTTTCTCGATATAAGAAGAGATGTGATTCCAGTTGTCTTGCGATGAAAGAAGAAGATCTTGAGTTGAGGCGAGAGTAAAAACAGCCCCTAGAGAAGCGTTCAGCAAACTGCGTTCCGAGAGGAAGAAAGAGCAGTGGTAGAAGGTGTGCTCGGGAGAATCTCTACTATTACAATTAGGCATAGGGCATAGGTCATCAGGGGTCAGTTTAAACCTGTGAAGATAGTCCCGGAAATTCCCGTGACCACTAAAGAATTGAGTTAGGAAGAAATTTGTGTCACCGAAGGGTCGATGGATAAAACTGCGGAGGTCAGGTAAGACTGATTTGAACCAGACATCGGAATCCGTCTGGCCTTCCAGTCTTGTGACCCATTTCTCAACAATGTCAGATTTAATGAGAGATTTTGGCTCACCATCATACTGCCTACATCTAGACTCAATATAGAGATCGGACGGGGGAATGCCGGAAAGAACATCTAATATGTTGTTGGAAACAGTGCGATAAGCTGCACAGATACATCTCTTAAAAGGTCTACAAGTTTTAGTAATTATGTTACGATACTTAGCGATCTTAGTGACCTCAGCCCAAACGGGCAGACCGTAAAAAAGGGAGGAAAAGACAGCGTTTAAAATGAGCTTACGCTTCTTAAAGGTGGGGCCTCTGATGTTCGGCAGCAGGGGTAATAAGGAGCAATGAACCTTCTTAGCTTTTTCGCAGGCTTTAATGACATGATTTTTAAAGCTGAGGTTTTTGTCACGAGTGTGAAGGATTTAGGGACCGAGGTGCGGAGTCAGACAATCAAGGCAACTAGAGTAGCCGGATGCCTAAATGAAATGGTTTGGAGGAATAAGTACATGGCTAAAGAGAGCAAAGTTCGAGTTTATAAAACGGTTGTAAGACCTGTGCTGACTTACGCTGCGGAGACCCGAGCGGACACGAAGCGCACTAAACAACAGTTGCGGACCGTAGAAATGAAAGTCCTGAGGAAAATAGCAGGCTTTACGCTCCGAGATAGGCAGACCAACGAGTCAATTCGCGAAGAGTGCCAAATTCAAGATATTGCCAAATGGACCAAGATGCGCCGGAAAATGTGGTCGGAACATGTTGAGAGGATGGAGGGGGAAAGGCTTGCCAAGATTTGTATGGTAGGACGACCTCATAGCCAAAGGCAACCCGGACGACCGCCCAAGAGATGGGCACAGAGCTGCCTTTCATCCCCGGAGAATTAAGTGATCTCTCTCATCGGCATCATATTACTGTTTTAGAGGCTAGACAAACAGGGTCACGGCCCTAGTCAGAAGGCAGAAGAAGAAGAAGAAGGTTTTTGTCTATCCAGAAGCCAAGATATTTTATCGAAAGGGAGGGCCTGATGAGGCAACCGAGTACTCGAAAGGAAGCCCTGCTCCACCTCTTCCCGCCTCCGAGAAGGCAGGCCTCAGTTTTGTCAGGCTCCAGACCAAGTCTCTTAGGCCCAAGCTCCTCGTTTATCTCAGCCGATACCACCTCAGAAACGGCACGCAATTCCGGGATAGTGCTGGCCTCAAAAATGACAGAGAGGTCATCTGCGTAACCCAACTTTTCACATCTCACGGAGTGCACCTTTTCGATTACCGAGTCATAGCAGATGTTAAACAAGAAGGGACCTAGAATTGAGCCCTGCGGGACACCGGAGGAGACCGGGAAGGAGAAGGCACCATAAGTAATTACCCGATCCGAAAGG